AATATACGTGCAAAATGTAAGCACTTAAGACATCATGATTATACATTATACATACAAATCTCACAAAATGGGGTTAAATCAAATCCAAAATTATTTTTTTAATTCGTAAATGAAAATAATAAAAATAATAACAAATTACCAAACACTATGTCATACCTAGATAAAGAAGTTAATAATGGTAATGATATTGTAAATTAATTTAAAGAATACTTTTCTAACACATATGTCACAAATTATATAGCTTGCCCACAAATCAATTTAAAAGAAAATAACATCGGAGCTATTAATACAATTGAATTACAACAAATAGATATTTTCAACAAACTTTGGAATATTAGTTATAAAACAGCAATTGGTCCTGATGAAATCTCGCAATTATTTTTAAAAGCGTGTGCATTCATTCTCACTCCAGCTATAACCTCTTTATTTAATAAATCATTGTTATCAGGTATTTTTCCAGAGCAATAGAAATCCTCATAATGTAACCCCGATTTTTAAAAAAGGTGCTTAATTAATAACTATCGTCCCATATCTAAACTTTCAATAATTCCTAAATTATTCTCAAAACTGGTCAACAATACTATTACACCTTTATGCAATAAATTATTATCTATAGACCAACACGGATTTATGCAAAATAGATCAACAAAAACAAATTTGTGTATATTTAAACACTCAATCTTGGATTCATTTGAAAATCAATCACAAACTGATGTAATTTTAGTACCTGTTCTTACTAAGTTTACTAATTGAATGTTCAAATCTCTCACCATAATATGTACACAATTTACATATATTTTTATTTTTATTTTTATTTTTACCACATTTATGTTTATCTTTATTTTAATATGGTTTATCGCACTTATTACAATAATAACACGATCCGTAGAAAGCTTTAGCTGATGTAATAACATCAAAATGATTACCATTTTTATACAAATAAATTTTAGTTTCTTTATCCTCACCCTTATAAATTAAAGTATTTAAATTTTCATTACAAATAACATTTATTTGAATATCTAGTGCAAGTTCCACATTCTTAATATCATTCAATGTAAATCCTTCTTCGTTATATTCTGGTAACATATTACATAATTCTAAAGCTAAATCTTTTTGAATTTTTCTACCTATCTTCAATTATTTAATTTTATTGGGGTCTAATTCATGACCTAAAATATTGTTTGTTTCAGTAGATAATGCAACAACAATAGCTCTCGGACAACATAAATTATCATCGTTATTAATCTCAATAATACTTCTTTTTGTTTTTATATTTTCTGATAAATTAATTATTTTAGTTCTCCTTGAACCTCTTGGTATTTTCACTAATTGAACTTGAAAAGTAGTTTCTGTTATATCAATTGTTTCAGCTGAAGTTAATATGTTAACAATAATTGATTTTAAGTTTGTTAAAAAATTATCAGATTTCATACCAGTAGATATAGTATTTTTTAAATTTGGATTCATCACTATAATATTTATTTGATCACCTTTTTCATAACTTGAATTTTTTTGGACATGTTTTAACATGGAATCTAGAGCTTTATGAACATAATCAATTTTGTATTTTGCATTACATAGTTTTAGATCTTTTATTAAAGCTTCTCTAAACCGAATTTTATATTCAGCTTCATGTTTTTTAAATTTCTTTTGGATTTGTTTATTCATTTGAATTATATCTATCAAATCATAAACATCTGATGTTTTTTCTAATGAACTATTAAAATAATTTTCTTCAGTGAAAATTGTTTTTTCTAACTTCTGAAATGGATTATTGTTTAATGAACTATTAAAAACTTCATCCTTGAATATATCTTCTTGAAATTTACGAAAAGGTTGTTGCTTTCTTGTTAATTTAATTTTTTTTATTAAACATTCTTTATTAAGTTTGTAAATTTGTTTTATATCAAAACTTCGAGCTATTGACTTAAGCTCAGAAGTTGTTAAATCGCAAATTGTATGACCTCTCCTAATTCTTGATATAAGATCATTTTTTTTAAGGGTACTATAACCCTTAAGTTTAGCCTCTTTTGCTATTGACTTAAGCTCAGAGACTTTCATATTTTCTAATATGCTTATTGAATTTATATTTGCCATTATTTTTATTATTTATTATATTTTTAATTTTTAAATTAATTTTTTAAATTTCTTTTTAATACATTTTGCAATTAAATATGCTATTTTGATTTTTATTTTTGATAGAACAATTCTATTAAAAAATGTTTTGGTGCATTTCAGATTTTTGAAAAATATTTTAAGTAATTATTGCATTTAAATGTCACGTGTGCCGAAGTCCCCCATAGGAAAATATTTTTAGTATTTTTTGCATTTCAATTTCTATGAAAATTATTTTTAGTATTTTTGCATTTCAGATTTTTTGAAAAATATTTTAATAATTATTGCGTTTCACGATTTGCAAAATAATTAAAAGAATTTTTGCAATGTACCATAGTGACCCCTATACTACTCCTATTCCATCTCTTTCTAACATTCCCTTTCGGGCAACACTGCTTGGTGAGCATTCCAGTTATCATATAGTTCAATGGCGACCGGCCAGCTGTGGAATCATTATCAATGTTTTCGTTATATTTGTTATGTTCAAAACTTTAAGTTGTTTTTCGTGTAATCATGCTTTCAGTGTCATAAAGTTCATAGTTTTTCCGTTGGTTATTGTTTTAGTGTGGTGACACTGAAAGACCGTTTGTTTTTTGTTTTTTGTGCTCGTTGCTGAGCAGTTCAAGCAACGTCATGGTTGTTACATCATTTTTGTCATGAGCTGTTGGCAGTTGTCCCAAACCAAGTTGTTGTGAATTTGTGATTAAGTTTCTGGTAATTATCGTTCTCAGAAATGTTCATTTCCATCACTAATTTGTTGTTCCCAGTATAGGGTGGTCAAAATTACCAGAAATTTGTGTTGTGATTCAACGTGTTTTGGTGTACCTCGTTGCTCGTGAGGACAGTAGTGCGAAGACTAGAGATCCTGTTCCGGCTGCATTCAGTGTGTTTTTGTTAGTGAAGTCATCGTCAACAGTTGCTGGCACACATTCACACGTACTCAGGGTCAATTTGATTTTTATTGTAACTTATTGACATACTTACAGGCCCTGGTGCGGTAACGTGGGTGTAAAACCAGGTGTGTGTCTCAACTGTTATGTGAGTATTGGTCGACCAAATATGTGTGTATGTATGTACTAGGGTCCTAAAGTATTATTATGTTCTGGTAGCCGTTAAGGCATATTATTTATCATTTACATTCTGTTTGTATCTTACAGCCATTCAGGCCTTTGTTCAATTATATATTATTATTTACCATTGTTCATTGTATTATAGCCCAAGAGGCAATTGAAATTATATTTTATATTGTTATTACTATTATCATTGTTGTGCCAAATGGGCAATTAAATATTTATTAAATTATACAGTCCACATTATATATTTTATATAACGATAAGGTTGTTCATTATTATTTTGGTCACCTTATGGGTTAACATTTTGGTCCTTCGGGTCAGATATTAAGTTGAATTAGTAATCAGTATAAAATATGAATTTCATTAATTTGTATAATCATCTTTTCTATTTTTATTGTAAAATAAGCACACTGTGCATCATTCTCAATATTGTAATTTAGGTCACAATTATGGATATCAGAAAGGCGACATTGGAGTTGAAGATCATTCATTCCAGTTTAAAGGCGATGGCCACATTTGCCAAGCAGTTCAATAGTGAAACAAACAAACTAAGCCAAGTAAGAGTACGCTTAGAGGAGCTTCCAAGTATTTCAGAAAAATTTGAAGAAGTGCAGTCAGTAAGAGAAGAACTTGATCAAAAAGCAGATGAAATAGTAATGGATGAACAAGCAAGATTTAGAGAGAGATTTTATGAAGTCAAGGCATCATTATTACATAATATATTGGAAGCTGAAGAATCCAAAAAATTAGAAGTATCCAGTCTGTCCTACAGCATCACATCCAATCATGTAAATAATAATATGATGAAATTACCACATATTGAACTCCCTAAGTTTAGTCGTGATTGGAAAGAATGGACATCATTCATAGATTCTTTTAATGTTTACTTCCACAACAACACAGATATGGCACCGGTTCATAAGTTGCATTTTCTTAAGGCTTGTTTAGGAGGGCAGGCCAGTGATATTGTCAAATCTATACCAACTACAAATGAGAATTTATTATTATTATTTTTCATTTGTAGTTCTATAGTTTTGACAATATCAAAAATCTATACCAACTATGAGAACTATGAGCAGGCCTATGATGCAGTAACAGCAAGGTATGAAAACAAGGGAGCAATTATTCAATCACATATTAGAGCATTATTTGACACTCCCAAAATTTCAATAGCTTCAGTAATAGAGTTGCAAAGACTTTATCATCACATTACTTTAAATATAAATGTATTACAGGCATTAGGTCAACCGATTGAGAGGTGGAACGCTTGGTTGGTCACATTAATATGCAACCTAATGGATAGAGTAACCGTCGGAGAATGGCACATTCAATATAACAAGAAAGACCTACCAGAGTTCAAAGAAATAAAGGTATTTTTATTTAACCGTATTGCTGCCTATGAAGCAGGTGAAGTTAACATTGGTGAATCATGCATTAAACAGAATGTGGTCAAGTCCAGTAATAAATTTCAAGAAAAAAGGTTTTTTTGTGCTTAACCTGCAGACAAGGTAACTACATCATACAAATGTCCTTTTTGCAATGAAACTCGTAGGTTATATCAATGCAAAGGTTTTAACGATTTGAAAGTACCAGATCGCCAAGAATTTGTTTCAAAGAATCGGTTATGTTTCAACTGTCTTTACTCTAATCATCAAGCACAAGACTGCAGGTTCTCAAGTTGTCCAAAATGCGGTCAAAATTGCATTTGGATCAAGTTCATGAAAACCAACAAAAAAGAAGTGAAACGGATTTGCCCATTTGCCCATTGCAAGCACAAGTGTTCCATGTTTTAGTAAGGGAATAGCACAGTCAATGCATGCGTCAGGTGACATGGTCATGTTGGCCACAGCCGTTGTGTACATTAATGATGCAGCTGGATATCCTCAGCCCTGTAGAGCACTACTGGACTCAGGATCACAGGTTAATTTTATAACTGACGCCTGTGCCCAATTTCTTGGATTGTCTAAAACAAAATGTTTTCTACCACTAGTTGGTATCAACTCAATGAGGTCAGATGCACAGAAATTGCAACCAGTTTTTATGTATTCTAGGTTTGAACATGTCAACGTTTCACTAGATCTTCATGTACTTCCTTCAATCGTCAATGATATGCCATCTCGATCAATACGTTTAGATCAGTCAAAGATTCTGGATATTGTTAATGAACAATTGGCTGATCCAAGCTATGATACACTAGGCAAGGTAGATATAATACTTGGCGCAGAAATGTTTTACACACTTTTCAGTGGAGAAATGTTGCCATTACAAATAGTTTAGTGATTCACAAAATCACACTTAAATTGGTTCTTACTTAAAGGGTATTAAATAGTGAAGTTATACAGTCTATGTTTTCTGCTTGTGCTGGTGCTAATGATGCAACAATAAATTCAGTGCTTTCACTATTTATCAGTAAATCAAGTGTTTGTGAAGATGAAGAAGATATAGCTGAACACCATTTTAAGAAGACACATTACAGAGGTGATTCAGGGCGATTAGTTGTTAGCCTTCCGTTAAATACTAAACTCAGTTCGCTCGGTGAATCTAAACACATGGCGCAACAACGATTCTTTAACTTGGAAAAACGGTTATCTAAATACAGGGAACTATGCATAGCCTATCACAAGTTTATGTCAGAGTACTTAGACATGAATCACATGGAACTGGTAACTAATGATGATTCAAATAGTCAAACATATTATTTGCCTCACCATGCTGTCATCAAGAGAGACAGCATCACCACAAAATTAAGAGTTGTGTTCGATGGATCAGCTCCAACAATTTCTGGGCTATCCCTTAATGATGTCATGTTAAAAGAACCTATGGTTAAACTGTTACGATTTAGAGTACATAAGATAGCATTAACTGCAGACGTTGAGAAGATGTACCGTCAAATACTAGTAACTCCAAAAGACTGTCAATTACAACGAATTTGGTATCGTCCAAGTCCCTCTGGACTGTTAAGGGATACGTAACCTTCGCACAATCACGTACATTACAAAATCAGCTTCCTATTTAGCAACCCGTATCCTGGTGGAGATAGCTTTTTCAGCTATTAAAGATGATTTCTATGTAAACGATTTACTTACTTGTGCTGAATCTTCAGACGAATATTTCCAGCTATACAAAGATGTTTCAGACACGTTGGCGTCTCGTTGTCTACCGTTAAGAAAATGGTGTACAAGCTCTTCCGAAGTCCTGAGTAAATTACCAAATTCTGGGACCGATCCTAATCATGTTTTACAACTTAGTGAACAGGATGCTGTCAGTACTTTAGGCATAATGTGGCAACCCATAACAGATTGTTTTTGCTTTACATTAAAGCCATGGATTCCACCCAAAAAAAATGACTAAGCGCACATTACTTTCTGACATTAATAGGATTTACGATCCACTTGGTTTCCTAACCCCAGTTCTTATAACTGGAAAAATCTTTGTTCAACAGTTATGGGTGTTGAAGATTGATTGGGACAATACATTACCCGACGACATGCAGCATCGGTGGAAAAACTTTTATTTATCTTTGTATGCTTTGGATAAATTAGCCATTCGGCGTCGGCCATTGTCAAGTAGTTGGTTTAACATCCAGCTTCATGGATTTTGTGAGCCTCACAGGAGGCGTACGGACCATGTGTTCACCCAAGAACACAGAATTCAAATGGAGAATTCGAAACATCACTATATGTTTCAAAATCAAGGGTAGCGCCATTTCATGCGACCACTATACCCCGGTTAGAGCTCTGTGGTGCTATACTACTCAGTGATTTAACTACAGAAGTCACAAAAAAGGAAGTCCCAGAAAGTTCTTCCAAACATTGCAGCCGTCTGGCGGCGACAAAGAAAACTTGGTTGGGACCTGCAGATTTCATGAACACAAGTATGAATTTATTTTTAGATTTGTTGTATAGTATATTAGTATTAATATTAATTGTATGTATAAATGTGTTACATTAGTTCTGATAATAAAATGAAAAAAATGAAAAAAAGTATTTATTTTCAAAAGTAAATGCATCTCAATACAATAAGTTAATTATTGAAGATCTCACTAGCACTAGTATGGATTTACTATTTATATCTTGTACTTAATTGTTTTTATAAACAATATTATGCTAATTACAAATTTAATCATAATGAACTTGTCATTTTAGATGGTTTTAGTGAAAAATACTGGGAGGTTATTGCAGATCGTTGTAGAAATGCTTTGGAAGAAGTTCTTGAAGAAAATCGTAAATTACATACTATAGTCATGGCATTGGAAGAAGAAAATGCATGTTGTAAAAAATTACTCGAACAAACAACTGATCTCGTTAACAAATTAAAGGTATATATGAAATTTTTTATTCACACAAATACACAATTATTATGCAAACTGTAAATGGAATCAACAAAATGTTATCTGATTGTTATTGAAGAATTAGCTATTTTTTTTATATTTTTAGTTGGTTGTCTAGTAATCCAATATTTATACAAAAATATATTTCCTTAAAATACATAAACAAAAACTAATTTAGCTTAATTCAATTATAGGAAGTACTAAATGAAGAAGATGGTAAATCAACTGAATGTAATGTCGATAATTACATTTCGTCAATCAACTCCAATCAAATAAACAGCAACGATGATTTTTCTGGCAGTGAATCTGAATAAATTCTTTCTACATTTAATTTAACAAATAATTAATTCTATTTCAAATTATTCAATTGATTTTTTTTTTTTGTTCCTACCAAGTATTAATTTATTTTGAATTAAACGTAATCATATCAATATTTTTTTTCAGTGAATATTTATTTTTGAATGTAGAACTTTGTTTTACTTTTTTGAACAGTTTTTATGTTAATATACATTCATGTGAAAACAACCACGAATTGTGAATCTATACATTTTGAACTAAATTGGTTTACAATATTTAGCATACATATTAAAACAATAAACTAATTTGTAAGTAATTAAAGGAACTTAGATGGTATCTTTTATTTTTAACAACTAGTTCAAATTCATTGGTATTTTAACAACATTCAATAACTTTTACTATTGTATATTGTCTATTTTAATTATTAGGTTTCTTATCGATTCATAAAGATACATCTAACATATTTGGATAATATTTGTATTTGTATTTAATTATTATAGTAAGTCAAAAAAATAATAATTTTATGTTTAGTTAAATGTACATAGTTAACTGTTTTAACAGCACGCGTATACGTAACTATGTCATACCTCTAGATTAAAATTAAATAAACACAACTTTAATAACTTTTATTGTATTTTTGTTATCTAAAAGAATATATTTAAGAATATATTATATTCTTGTTTTATAAATTATAACAATTGATTATGAACAAGGAAATAATATAAACTCGCTCACATTCATGGGCAGTATTTTATCCTGCCACAGATAAAGAGAAATATTGTTATCCTGTTTGTATTTTGTTGAAATATTATTAGGTATAATCAATGTTACATAAATAAGTAATAACGACGTAACTGTGACCTGTTCTATTCAACATTAAATACCTACCTAAGCCAAAGATTATTTCATAATAATATTATGTTAGGTATACTGTTATAGGTGGGAATGTTGGAACATACCTAGTAGTGAAATAGGCACTCACTTATTATATTCTTCAATATACACTATGGTACCATATTTTTGTATTTATTGATAATTTTTACTTCAAAATATTCTAGATTAATTCTTTTATATTTTGGGCGTGCACATTTTAAACTTGGGGGTGCACAAGTACCCTGTGCACCCCCCCCCCCTAGTTGCGCCAATGTGACTGGATGTACTGAGTTCATATTTTTACCTGGTTAATACTTAAAATGAGATAGATTAATCAGATACGTCGCTGTCACCAAGTCTCCCGTTTGTGTAAACGTTTCCCGAAACATAGGCGGGATACGGGATTGTTTACCATTCCCTATTTTACGTATGCCCCCCCCCCCCCCGGAAACCGTGTTCAAGGCCCCAATCGCCTGTTCGGCCAACGCACGGAGTTTCGTACCCCTGATGTCACTATAGTATAATAGACTCAGAAAGTCAGAATTAGTATACTAGACTTTCAACGGACTTTAATAATATTATACAACTTTGTTGGAAATGAGGTAAGCGAAAGATATATTACAATAATATTATTTTGAAAATAAAGTGATAATAAAATCGGTGATGACTGATAACGATAACGATGCCGGCCGTCTTGCAGCCATCCGGATTTCCGGACAATTTTAATTATCCATGTTCCTTTTTAGTGTAAACCATCGACATAATTTTTAATATAAATATATTTAATAATATGTCTACTTATATCCATATATCTTTAATATCTATGGTTATATCGTATTTTCGTATACTCGCATTCGCACGCATCGCTCACTCACTCAACTCTCACTGACTCACTCGCCGACCGCACAAAGAGCAGCGGAAAATGGATAATAAATAGAGACGTCTATAATTTTATAATATATTTGTAATTATTACTTAGTTATTACTGTACGCCGCGACGCTGCCGAAGTCGTATCGCTCGCACTCTCTTGTTCCGCAGTTGTGGTCACTAACTCCTCGCTGTTACGCCACTGCCGAGAACCCCTTTATCGCTGCTCCGTTCAGCACTGACACCGCTTCCGCCCACCGCCCAAAAACCAGACAGACAAAAGCGACGACGAGTCATCAGCAAAGCCACTCATACAGCGCAGTAATGGAAGACAATAAGGTCGAGGTGCTCTTTGAGAACGGCGCCTATTACGAGGTGATTAGGTTATTCTTAATTCATGAGAATGATAATTAATTTAATTTATATATTTTAGGGCTTTGTTACGGGTGTAATGGAAAACGAAGTTCTAGTTTCTTTCCCTGATGAGTGAGTATCTCTTATAATATAATATATTTTATTATAATACATTTTTTAAGCATTCTAATCAAATTACAAGTAGGTAGGTACATAAACAATATTAAGAACCTATGTTTGTTTTTTACCATGAATAATTTGTACCTATTTCAAAAGTAAGATTACCCTTAAAAAAAATCATGTCTTATTAAGTCCGGTTATATATTAAATTATACAGTTACCTACATCAAAATTATTTCACTTGGCTTTATACCTACAGATCCAAATATCTAATACTTAAAGTTGATTTTGTTTTAAAAATATTAACTACAAATATATATAATAGTCTACCTATTTTTTATTTCATGCATGATTTTGGTAAGCAATAACTATCTATTATTAATAAAATAGTTTTTATTTTCAATTTATACCTATTAACCCCCTAAAAATCAATATTTGTATAGGTACCTTTAATCTATACATTTTGTATATCACATTTAAATAATATAACTATTTAATACAGTTGGTATTATTGAACAATAGATACCCCTAATTCCCTAATTAGTATTGGGCTTTAACGTTTTACCTAAATAATCACCAAAAAAAATGATTAATTCACTTATAAGCAAAGGTGGGCATTAACTTGTTAAAAAGTTAAAGTTAAGTTAAAAAGTTAATTTTTTTTTAACTTTTTAACTTAACTAGTTAATTATTTTTGTTTTTAACTTATTAACTTATTCAGTTAAAATGTTTATTGTTGTAACTTAATTTTTTATAGTTAATTATCATTGTCATGCAGTTAAGTTAATTTAATTTTTGAGTCATGCGTAATCAACTAGGCAATACCGATTGGTCGACTTTTTTACGATTTTAGTAATTTATTTTCGAATTATGTATTATAATAATTTAATTTTTTACACAGTGTTAAATATCTTGGTAAATGTTTTTGTATAACAAAATACTATGGTAGTATATGACTTAAAAATATTGTACCTTCAAAAAAATTAACTTTTTTTTAACTGAGATAAGTTAATTTTAAGTTAACTTATCTAGTTATTTTTTTTTTCCTTGTTAACTTTTAACTTAACTGAAGGCAATTTAAATGAATTAACTTAACTTTCCACAGTTAATTATTTTCATTAACTTGCCCACCATTGCTTATAAGTTATAGTTAATAGTTTTAAAACATTATTCTTATACCGAGTTGTTCAAATTAATGATCCTCTAAAATTGTATAGACCAATCATTAGTAACTTAATCATAATTAAGAAACCCTAATGGTTCTCACTATTGGAGCGTTTTAACTCCCCCAAATATTGATTACAACGGAAAAATATCACCCATCATTGAAAATAAGTTGCTACTCTCAGAATCTAAATTAAGTGTATACACTATAACATATAAGATAGCCAGTTGACAATATTTTTTTGTGCTATAAGGGACATCAGTATTCAAATAATTAATAACTATACTTACCAATACTTACTATATAGTTTCTAAGATTTTTCATATTTGCTTATTTTTAGATTTTTATATTTTTTGATGGCTTCTGAATGGAAAGGAATTAAGCTAATATTATCTACCTTCGATAAATCTTCACATAATTAGGCAGTGAAAATAAAAAAACTAATAAGCTTTCTAATTAACATTTTAGTTTATATATATATGTTAGCGTTAATGTATGAAATTCCGTAATTCTATAGAATAACTAGTTATTTTATAGAATTACGGGTACTTTCAGTTAATGTATTGAATGAATCCATAAATATATACTTCAACTAGTTATTCTACATACCAACTAGATATTTAATAAACTAACAATAAGGGTTTAGTTAATGTATTTAAAACTATTATTGAATAAAAGTTTTAATCAAATTACAAATTACAAACAAAATCAAATGTTATAGTATTAAGTCAAACAAGCCTTACAGTATCATATAAAATATTAATATTAATTTATTTCACATCAATTTATTAGAATAATTATTAAAATCTTAATCAATTTACAAATTAAAAAATCAAATGTTATAGTATAAGTCAAACACACCTTACATTATTATATAAAATATTAATATTAATTTTTTTTTCACGTCAATGTATTTGTATAATTTTTTTTTTTAAATTTACAATTTATTTATTAGTACAGGAACTTTTTGAGTGGCATTTAGAATTACAAAGTAAATTATTTTTTAAACATATGCACCGTTTTGTGGTGCACTTTTGTTGGCATGTACATTTAAAAAACCCTTGTCCATTACCAATTGATCGGATGCTTTTCGAAGGCAAATATCTACATCTGGAACGTCACTAAGCATAATAAACTTTTCTGTGCATAAACTAAATTGTGACCTCGCGTAAAGTTGTTTTAGTATACCGTATTTAGTTGCTAAAACAAAATTATTTGAATTATTAATAAATAAATAAAAAAAAATTCTTTTTTTCCTGTTTTAATACGTTTCACTTCACTTATTAAGAAATCATATTTTTCTTTCATCAAAAACATGCTGTTATTACGCTCTGTTGTTGTATTTTTTATAATTGTATCAAATTTAGTTTTCATTTTAAAGCACACTTATTAGTTATTACACTATACAACACTAAAAATGATTAAACTAACTAGTAAGTAAACTCGCAGTACACTGTCACACGAATAAGTCTAGTCTATGCCAAATGGTGTGGTTCAATACTATCTTATTTTATTATTTTTATTAATAACAAAAACGATAACAAATTTTGTATGTTATCTAATCCAGTCCCGGTCATCTACCTAATGATATAAATTTCATACATTAACGAAAACCCAATCGGTATTTTATGTATTAACTAGTAAAACCATGTAATTTATATATTAACAAACATATTTAGGAATTTTATAGAATAACTAGTTATTTAATAAAATAACGTATTACATACATTACCGCTAACATATATACATATAGATAACTTTTAGAAACTCTTATTATATGTTACTTTCCCGGATTGTCCTTGATTACTTTAAAACATTAAATTAATTAGTACCTACCTTGCTAAATAATAATACATCCTTAATAATTTTTAGTTGGTATTCTGAAACTAAATTCAACTATGACAATGTTCGATTACCCTTGTCAGATGAACAATGTAGTACAGAGTTTATTTACAATCAAGAAATAGAAGTAAAATCGGTCATAGAACCTCATCCTTGTTATGGGTGGGTAAAAGCAATAATAAAAATGATCAGTGGTAACCCACCATCCCAGTTCGTGGTCCAATATTTGAACTCAACAGCTGAACAAATATTTGTCTCTCCTGATAAAATCAGATGCAGTAACATAAATTCACACATTAATGGCAATACATTTTACACAACTGATATTGATGTACCCGAAGATGTTAGAGAATTGTAAGTATAACAAAAAAAAAATAAAATATACAGTCAGTTTACTATTTATTTAATAGTTAAAATTGAACAGCTACAAAAAATATTTTGAAGAATAACCATGGTTAATCTTTTAGTGCTAAAATTGATGGCATCCATAAAGATCTACAGATAGCAATTGGCGCCTCCTTGGTGTTATATAATCCTGATCGATCAATGTTGAGTGTTATATCTCGTTCACCATTGACCAGTAAAATAACATTGATATTAGCCGACGTACACTTTAGAAAACTGAACCACAATGTTATGTTGCTTAAGAAGACTGAAGAGTTAGCCAAGCAACTGGAAAGCTCCAAGCTAAATATTACATCATCACCTTATTCTGATGAATTTAATGTACTTGATGAACTTATGGGTTTGGCTATTGGAACTCGTGGCACTAATATTGAACGAGCTCGCCGGATTGACGGTATTACAAATATTGAATTAGATAAACATACCGGAATTTTTAAAATTTATGTAAATGTAAGTCAGTTTTATAGTACTTTTGTAAAAATATCTAATAATCTTGTTTTTAGAGTAAAGACTCTATCAAGAAAGCTCGAAGAATTTTAGAGTATAAGAAAAAATGTCTTCAAGTTCAAAGAGATTTCATTGGAAAATTAATTGGTAAAAATGGTAGTAACATCAAAGATATCATTGCGAAAAGCGGAGTGGTGAGTTATTTTTTATCCTTATATTATTTTTAATATTAGTAATTTGGCAGGCTCAATATTTATTGAGTTTAAAATTTTACTTTTGCTTGAACAAAATGCTCTCCTATAAAGGCCTTTGATCCTTGAGACATAGAAAACATTTTGCATTTTTAGAAATTTTACACATAACATTACTTAATCTTGAACAATACTACAATTTAATTTTTACTAGGTATTCATTATTTTTCTTATCATTGGTATTTGTAGGGTGTAATAAAAAAAAAAAAAAAATTCATTAAATTATTTTAGGTAGGTATACTGTAAGATAATCATCATTAATGGTTTTATTGTAAATTGATAGACTTCTATACTAATAAGTATAGTTGTTTATTCTTATTTTGACATTAAAAAAAAATAAACCATGTCTTAGTAAATAGCATTTACATTTTTAGATGATTGGTTATTGTTATTAGCATTTCAAATTTAACAATTATATTTTTTTCTTTTTATTATAGATCAAAATAGAAATTGAAGGTGATAAAGGACTACAGCCTAACATTCCTCGTAAAGAGGGTTATGTTCTTTTTGTGATTGTTGGCACTGTAGAAAGCATATTTACTGCTAAAGTTCTAATAAAACAGATTAAAGTATTTATTTAATCTTTATTCTAAAATATTTCTTTAACTAATTAATTAATTTATATTTAGGAACTTGAACAAAATAGGAAAGAAACACAAATGGAAATGGCGATGCAAAGGCGATACAACCGGTAAAATAGTACTATTTTATTATTTTACATATATTTTATGTGTTGTGAAAATGTTTTTGTTTATATTATTCGGCTGTATATACCCATAAAAAGTTAGATACAGGAGAGGGGATATTTTGGCTTTCAACTGAAGATTGTATTCTCAAAACACACTTACCCTCTTGCTGGACTTAGTGTATTATTGAAATAGTAATGTTATTTCCTTTCTACACATAATTTATTGTTACTTAAACTAACTTCATTAATTGGCTTAATCCTTAACAATTTTAATAACTGTCAATTTTTAAAAGTTAAATTGCATACAATATAAATATAAGTGACATGAATTGTTTAGGGGTTAACATTTTCATAGTTAAATATATGAACACTTTCAGTTTAACATTAATCAACCTGTCACTGATTGTGTAATTTTTTCTATTTTGGTTGTGGTGGTTAAAAATTATCTATAATATGAAATATACTTTAAATATTACTTTTAGTTGGTACTTTGTAACTAAAAATAATTATAATTAATATACACAAATAATTATAGAATTTAAATTTCATATGTACCCACAGTATTATAAATCAAAATTAAAAAAATAATTGAAACGTTAAGGTAATACAATACTGATATAATGTTAACTTTTCAGTCGCGTTAAATATTCTTCAAACGGATAAATATTGTTCTCAACACGCTTGTACCAAAAAAACAAATAGTTTTTGATGAAGTAAATGTCATTATAGAATTATGATGTCATTTTTATAAGCTAATCAGAATTACAAATCCCTATTACAGATAATTATTGAAAACACATATTTATAAACACTGGGAGATTATTTACCCCGCTTGACCAGTTGCAGGTTAAGTAATATACTCTTTTTCAAATAAGACTGAACTGCTTCGCTCATGAAGACTGGCCGCCGAACAGTGCCTGACCCCCCCAGGTGATGGGTCGAAAGTCATCGCCGGCCGTCGTCGATCGTCGGCGCCGGTGCTGGCCGCCATGCATACGCTAACTTAAACTAATAGATTCAAAACATTTTTACAATTATATCACAAAATAATCACTGAATCAATTGTACAATTACTGAATTTAGCCGTCTGTTAAATATTTAACTATTACTATTGATTATTTGTTTTTATTTGTACAGTAACCTTAGTACAGACAGTGAAAACATGAAAAATGGCCAAAGTAAGTCTAAGGGAAGAAAAAGTAACAGGTGTAGACGTGGCGAAGATGAGAGTGAATGAACAAGTTAATTGAAAAAAAAAAATAAGAATTTTAAATGGATTTTGGCTTTAAACAGTTTGATAAGTTTTATACAATGTTTTAATTTTTCATACAACTTTAATTTAATTTAAATTCAAAAATATGTAATATAATAATAATATGTTATGTACTTTTATCTGTCAACTGTTTGTATCTTTTGAGTTGGACAAATTTAAAAAAAATACTTAGTACATTCTATTCAATAATGTAAGTAGAGAATTAGTGTTACACTATTTATATGTAAAATATATTTATTTATATATACACCTATCTAAGCATTTTTATACATCTTAATTTAGTACTTAGGTCTTAAGATGACAATAGTCAATAACAAAATGATAACAGTATGACATACTCGTGTACCACGGTTTAATTTATACAGGTTGCACAACCTGCTGAGCTCTCCTACTATTTTTATTTACTTGGACGGGGAGACGGTACAAACTAATGTCCAAAATAATTTTTATTAAAATGTGAATTTCAATTTATGTCATTTATATAACTAGTTTTTCTATTTCGTGTTGAAATTATTTTTCACATTACTTATTAATATAATATAGGCAAATATTATAATATATTATTAATTATAATATTATATATTATAATTAATTATAATATCACAATGTGTTTTGAATATAATATAGTCAGTAGTTTACAGATCATAGATCATATACAATTAGTATATTATGTAAGGTTTATGTAAAAAACAAATTATTAAAAATCGAAAATATCTCATAGCTATAATTTATAAATATTTTAATTTTCCTGAGAACTTTTTTTTTTTTGATAAAGGTAACAAAACTTATTGAATCATCTAATGTAAGCTATGAAAAGAAAACTCTTATTCATTTCTAATTGAAAAATAATTTGAAAATTTTCTTCAACAGTATCTTGTTCGATTGGAAAGTCAATCTAGTTGGTGCATTCGAGAGATCAATAATTATATATAATATCATTAAATTTTATTAATCTAAAATAGAAAAAAAATTCTGCAGCTGGAAACCAATGTGGCAATTCCGTGAATATTTGAAGTTTTCATCTGATGTTTTAATTTTTGTATTACCATTTTCTATACAACAATACATTTTCAAAATATTTTGACTATTTTTGATTTTTTGGGGAGTAAAAATTGCTGTTATTCATTCTACGTGTTCGAGATTATGGTATAGTGACAGATGGTCACGGATATATTTGAACAATTATTAATAAATTGATATATTATTTATTGGTTCGTCTATTGTAACATACCTATTCTCAGTGTAAAAGACCACCTACTACATTCAAATTAAAGGGTATACAATCGTAAGTTACTTTTAATTTATACGTTTAAGCCGTATTCAATATTGGTCTCATTTTCACTTGAATGTATGAATGTGCATAGTAAAATTATTTTTATTCTATAGATTTGTTATTTATTATTAAAACACAATATATTATAATAAACATACTGAGTAATTTTTATTTATATATCGTTACTTTTGAATATAACTTCAGGTATAAAGTGAATATGTTTTATGTTTTGTTTCAATATATAAATGTATAAATATAATGTGTTTATATTTATATTAAACTAAATTTTTTTTAATTTTTTTTTTATTATACAACTACTAGTAAAAACTGATAGTTCGACAATTACAATATTAAAATTAAATAATTAAAGATCTTATATGATAATATTTAACATACAATAATATAGGTAAGAATAATAATCGACATTCATATAGTCATACCTAAAGAAGCAAATGAAGGCAGAGACAGAAAATTAATTGATATATTATTAGATATAATAATCCCAATGGAAATAATAATTAAGTAATGGGATAAGCAAAAATAGATGGTTGAACTATGGAGTAAAGCGTTTTTTGCAGTACATCAGTGAGGAGGAATAATAATGGCCCAATTACAGAATTTAAATTTTAAGTTGGTGATAAATTGATATAACACTGTTGTGACGATTTCTATTGTAGGATTTTTATTAGCGGCCCCTTCTACCTATGATCTTGCTTGAGGCTTGGCTTGAATGTCCGAGATCACACCATTGAACATTTTTAGAAAATAAACTTCATGAAATTTTAAAAAACTCAAATTGTACATAAACATAATTTTATTCTTAATTCCTTATTATACATTTTTCTAGCAAAACTATTAGTGGAGAAAAACAAATTTTGGACGAATGACTATGACCTTTTATTTACTTATTGAAACATTGAACTATAAACACTTTCAAGAAATCTATTGTTATAACTTTTTAATGAAACAGTCAGTAGTTTTTGAATCTATTAACTTTGGATAATAACAAACGTAGGTTAAACATAAAATGACCAAATATCAATATTATTATATATAATAAATTACATTATAAGTACCCTGTTTTAAATATCTATATAAAAAAAAAAATACTCATTTCTACTAATTTGCAACTATTAGTTTAATATAATGTGATGAATGGCAAAACTTTATATACGAAAATCCAATGGAAAATAGACCTTCTAATTATTGAAGAACCACTATTTTTAACTGAACCCAGCTCCACTGTATGTAAGCTATAACAACAGATTGCTCATCATACTGTTCATAATATAGTATAAGTAGTTTACTATAATATAGTAGTCATTTTTCTATATAATCTAACAAACCTTATACATAATTTTTTGTTTGCAGGAATTATACCATTTCAGTTGGAAATAAATTGAATTAAAATAAGAAAAATAACTAGGAATGTATTATTGATGTCAGAAATTTAGAAAATAAAGATAATAATTTGCGCTTATGGGTAATAATAATTAGAATACAAAATAAAAGATAGAGTATGAATCGTTATCGAAAAAAAAATTGATCACATAAATAAAAATGTAATATTTTATATTTAAAGTAAAAAAAAAAATGAAATATAAATATATGTGTATAAATTATATTAGCGACAAGTCAAATCTTATCTACTCATTTGATATGAAAATCTTAACTAAATATATATGTAATAAAGTAGTATTAATAGTAGTGTAGTTATAACCAGTACTCGGAACTTATAGCATTTAAAAAAATTAAAATAAGAGCTTATATAATTTATTTTTACATCCATTGGAATTGGCAAAGCAGAAGGTAATAAGCGTTTTTCTGTTTGTAGTGTACCATCTATCAACAATGTTGATTGTGTAAAATCTTCAGGTGTGAAGTGTCTTTCACACACCCAACTGTCAAGAGTTAACTGCACGCCTAATAATGGACTCCAATCATTTAAACGTTCCTACAAAATAAGAAAAAAACTTCAATGGACGGACATCAACAATTATTTTAAAACAATATTTATGAATGTTTATAATAATTACTATTGAAAGCTTGAACAAGTCGATATCTTCAACCTCCTCTACATTAGAATTTGTAATGCATGCTGGTACAGCACATTTAATATCAAAATCCTAAATTAATAAAATAAAATAAATTTAATTTATGTATGTATCAATTAAATGAAATACTAAAATAACCAATCTTTAATGTAAAAGAACTAAGACTAATGAGTACATTGAGTCAACAGTATATGATTATACTTTCAACACTGAATTACTACAAAAAAGAGTTTCAATTTTTTTTTTATCAATAGTTACTGAAAAAAAATTCAAAGATAGGTCAAAATACTTGAAACTTAATACATGTTCCTCATAAGTTGTTCTTTACACAGGCAATTTTTTTTTAATTTCATAGTTATTTGAAGTTTGAAAAAATTTTTCATACTGAAACAAATAAATTTAATGCGAAGTTCTCTGCTGTGAATGTTGAGTGTATCTCGTGATTAAGTAAGTAACTGTAAGTATAAGTTAAATTTAAATTCAATGATATGACATTGCAGACGGCAAGTGATTCTGAGTGGAGATAGTCTGTCGCCTTATATTAATAAGTCATTTAATTTTAATATTAGTAAAATGGCAGGCAAAAGTTATAGAAAATAATTTAAATAATAATTTGAATATTATGTTATTGTGTTATTAAATACAATTATATCTCAGACCATTTCTATCCTCGGAATAATATTTTTGAATTCCAACAAGATAACTTACATTGGTACAATTTTGTCAATGTTTAAGTTTCAAATAACTATAAGTAAAATATTGTTTATTTATTAATAGATTTTTGGGATTTAATAAGAACTTTTTATGAGGAACCTTGTACTAAATATTCGGGCATTTGCTATAAAAATTTAATAACTAGAAGATTTATTTGTATTAAAGTAAGTAAATAATTGAACAAAATGTGCACATAACAGTTGCCAACCAAAAATCAAACATGCAAACATTATATTATAATATATTTTTATGTTAGTTTAGTTGTGTAAAATATTTGAAAATAATTATTCTATTTTTCCATTTTATGAAATTATATTTAGTTACTAACATTTATCTATTAATAGATAAGCTGATATTTTCATTTGTAAAGCATAACTGCCAAATATTTAATCAAAAAATAAAATAACAGAAAACATTTATCATATGATTTGATATAAAATAAATGTTATTTTTTGAGCACATGTAATAATTAGTCATATTTTAATAGTAAACAAAATTTATATTTCAAAAGGCCGAATAAATTAAATTTTTTCTTTATAGAACTTAATAACAATTTGAGGCAATTTTAAATTAGCCTCTTCACTTAGGATTAAATCGGCTTCTTCTATCCCGCTCCACTTTATTAAAAATAACAATTGGCCTCCATAGTAAGAAACACCCATTACTTTTTCTGGTATTGGAACTGGCCGTAGACTTCTTTCTTCAAAATTTTTAATTAAATCTTCGCAATGAAGATTTTCCTCGGGTTCCCAAGAATTATATTTGTCATCGTAGCCGTCCCACTTAAGAAAGTATTGTACTTCATTATTTCTTATCCGTTTATTTAATATTATTTCTACAGAATATTCTTCTTCTGCAGTTGTACCACTAGGTTTTATGTTTGCAACATGTTTTCTCTTTCTGGAACAAAAATATATTAATATGTTAATAATAATATATCAAAAGATGTATAATTTATCTTGAATAACTTGGCAAAAATGATGACACCAAAAAAAATCATGTACATTGTTATCCATAGGTAATTACTTTGAATTTGTCAGCAAATAAGCATTATTTCAAATAAACACTGAAATTATAGGTACATAAATATTTTTATTTTTAATTTAAGAGGATGCTACACAGGCGTTTGTTATCTCCGACCTACAAACTTGTAACATACCAAATTGTACGCCCAGCAGATCACGGTTAACTCCGTTAGTTTAAAAATTCAAGTGAACTGATCTCTTATACAATTTAAAGGTAAGATATTATCTAGGGAATCGCATAGGCTTTTTACTATATTTTAATTTTAAAGCAAGTTATGAGTATTTTAGGATATACAAACAATTTACAATTTTCTAATACTCATAAATGTCTTTAAAATTAAAATAGATTAGAAGGACGATTAGCTAGAATATGTTATACATAAAATTACTGGTTCGATCTTACACAATATATAAAACGTAAATCTAATATACATTTTAGAAATTAAGAATCAAGAGATGTTTAAGTTTGACCATATATAATGTATAAATTATAGTCAAATTATTTTAATTAAACTAGTATCTATGATCACGCTATATTATACATCTCCACGAAAACAACAACTTTCAACTTATTTAGGTATTTATTTTATTTGGCCTCGAACAGTTTGGCGGTGGTAACGTAAGTAGGTACGTACGCGTATTCTCAAAATGTCAAAACGAAGACATTTTGAACGATGGTGTATGGGTCACGTTTTTAATGTTTTCATTAGATTTCGCGAAAATGTACACAGGTCACGATCGCGCGGTCTGTCTATGGGAACAGCGGGGGCAAACGAATGAAAGCAACGGGGAAAAAACCGAGTGAAAGCGAGATGGACGGCCGTGTGGATACGCGATTGAATATTAGTTGACACTCACCTTGAAGGCATATCGAAGGAATGAATCTACCGGAAACGAATGTTCAGCGTCGGGAAATACCACTCAATCACTTGGCGGCCACTGGAACGACGGCGACTGCTTCGCCTGCGATGTAGTGCGGCTAGCTGTTTGGGAACGGTGACGACGAGCGAGGAACAACGAGTGAAACGAGCTAGAAGCAACAATTAGTCATTAGTGATACAAGCGATTAGCAACAAGTGGAACGAGTAAGCAACGGACTTACATATTATAAGACCGGGTGACGGACTAAACAAAGGGACAGCGACGCTCGATTGGAAGAAAATAAATCGACGTCAGTGGCGGCGTGTTCGCGGTAGTGGTTACACAAGATATTGTATATTGTAACCGACGTGGTAATAT